AAATTAAGACGGACTTTTGCGAGATCTCGCAAAACAAACTCGGGATCTCGCAAAACTTTTGCGAGATCTTGCAAAAGTTTTAGCTGCATTCTTGGCTTCGAGCTAACGGGAGGTCGAGACCCACTACAGCCGGGAGGAACCCCGCTTTCCCGGCACATTGTGCCTCGACCTCCCAGTCGGCTTCGAGCCGGCGTCCGAAGAATGCGGCTAAAAGTTTTGCGAGATCCTGAGTTTGTTTTGCGAGATCTCGCAAAACTTTTGCGAGATCTCGCAAAAGTCCGTCTTAATTTTTTTCTCTCCCATGTCCCCTGCGGGGCTCCGTAGACAACAACCTAAATGAGGCAGGAAATATCTTTTTTATGTTTTTTTCCCACATTTTACCTTCTTAGATTTTGTGAAAAAGCTAATGTTTTTTGTGTTGGTCACCTCAATGGACTCTTATTCATGTTTTATCAATAAAGACAAGCCCAGTCATTATAAAACATGACATCAACTGCCACATGCGTCAAGTGCCATGTGTTGCATTACAGCAGTTATATGATGTTCATGTGTTCTCGTTAAAACAGGTGAACCAAATCCCACTGATTTCTTCGTGCAAGAAGAGGTAAAGGAGGGTCAAACTGTATCTGCATTCTGCTCTGTGTCTCACTCCTGCCCCACATATCCACCTGATTTCCACTGGAGTCACTCTGGAGAGCAACATTTTCAGACACAGAATCTTCAAAATGGCCAGTGGAAAGCAACATCTACTCTGACCTTTCGCTCAGACCGCACTGATAACAACAAACCTTTACGATGCAGAGTTACATACAACGGAGGAAAGCAGCGGGAACCATCCAAGACAATTAAAGTAAAATGTAAGTGTGCAGCTTTAACAACATGTTGATGTTAAAAACGGGGCGACCGCTCAGGGGGTTGGGAAGCGCATCTGTAACCGGAAGGTCGCCGGTTCAATCCCTGGGCTCTCTGTCCTGGTCTTTGTGTCCCCTCTGGCCAACACCTTACCCTACCGCCTACTGGTGTTGGCCAGAGGGGCCGATGGTGCGATATGGGAGCCTCGCTTCTGTCAGTCTGCCCCAGGGCAGCTGTGGCTACAACTGTAGCTTGCCTCCATCAGTGTGTGAATGTGAGAGTGAATGAATAGTGGCATTGTAAAGCGCTTTGGGTGCCTTGAAAAGCGCTATATAAATCCAATCCATCTTCATCTTATTCTCGACGGGACGCCGGTGGCAGCAGCCTAAGCAAAGAGGCCCAGACCTCCCTCTCCCCAGCCACCTCCTCCAGCTTATCCGGGGGAATCCAATAAATCCCATCACATTATTATTAAAAAAGAATCCCTTAAATATTGTAAATGCTGTAATTTAGTGAAGAACTTTTTAAAAGATGGGACACAGTTTTATATAAAGTTTTAGTTAATGTTTTTTTATCGGGGAAAAAAAATGTAATATTGAAACCAAAGAGACTGAAAATTAAATGTTTTTTAAAAAATCTGAACAGAAAAAAATCATAAAATGTTTCTGGTTGATATGTAACATTGGCTTTGATATTTTGTCATAACATTTATGCTTATCTCTTTGGTTTCTGAAGTTTTCTTTTATTGCTACACCACGTCAAAATATTGAAACAAGCTCACTTTGACCTGATTGTATGAAAAATAAACTAAAATGCTGCACAGTAACATTAAGGGTTAAATGTTTCTGTGCAGATGCTCCAGTGAATGTGAAGGTCGAGTACCAGTCAGATGTGAATGAGGGAGAGACTGCACACCTGAAGTGCTCCAGTGATGCAAACCCTGTCAGCAGCTATGAGTGGCACAGTGAAACTGGTGCTCTGCTGAATAAGGGGCAAACCTACACAATGTCAAATGTCTCCAGACACTCAGAGGCCGTGTACTGCACTGCTGTCAATGAGGAAGGACGAGTCAAATCAAGCACCCTGAAGCTCAATGTGTTATGTAAGTAAACAATACAAGAAATATAACAACAGAAGAGATTTTTCTTTTCATTCAAACATATATACCGGTAATAAATGTATGGTTATCTGCTAGATCCTAATTATATCTGCTGTCTTAACAGATGCCCCTGACATTGAGACTTATTCTAAGTGCTCCTCATATAACGGCATAGTAAAGTGTGATTGCATCGTACAATCCAGGCCTCCCAGCACGGTCCATTTTGTTCTTGGTGACAGAGTCCTGCCAAGCAGCAAGGTAGAGAAAAATGGATCTGTTACTACTGGGACTCTGCAGACAGACTTTGGGTCCTTCAAGTTTGTGCACTGCCTGGCAAACAACACGTTGGGAAATGCTAATCTCACACTCTTTTTACCTGTTAATGGTAAGAAAAAAAACTTTGAATCTCAAGAAAACAGCATAGATTATAATCACTCTATATTTACATGGCAAAACAAAAAATATTCAATGTGTTTTCTTTTTGAACAGACAACATGCAGAATATTTTCATAGCCTCTGGAGCAGGTGTGATTGTTCTGATAATTCTGATAGCCATTGGAGTGGGAGTTGTTAAAAAATGGTAAGTTGTTAAGGACAAGTTACACACTCTAAAACATTAACAGGTATAAGTTCAAGTCATGTAAAATGTCAATACCTGTTTTAAATATGATCATAAAATAAAACAATATTTATCTGCTTCTAATTGTTGCGATGTTATGCTAATGTTGTATTTTAGAGGTTTTGGAAAGTCTTAGTTTTTCTCCTGATGTTTTAAATTTCAGCAGGGGGCAATCAGATGGCACGCCAAAATCTGACTTAAGCACCACGACGTCAGACAGACCTGCGGAGCCCCCTCGTTATGCCCAAACAAAAAGGTTTTAATTCTTCAAATCAGTAAAAAAAACAAAAAAAAAACAAAAAAAAAACAAAAAAAACGTTATTCTTCATTAAACATGAATGATGAATATTTGATATAATTTGTGTGTAGAGGAAAAAGCCAAACTTGTTTCCTTTTTGCATTCTTTGTACAGGAAGGAGAACTATGAGGATGTCCATTGCAATGACATTTATGCCAATGACAGTGTGTATGGGAACACAGAGGTAGGTAAAGTTTTGTATTTTTTAAAATTTAATCTAATCATGCGTCAAAGACTGGAGTGAATTAAGCAGTCTTTTCTGTGCAGACTGACTGGGATGAATCAGTATACGCCAACGTGTAATATATGTGGAAGACCAGCTGCGGTCAGGTCGGAGTCAAGGAAAAAAAAGATCCTAGTTCTATATTCATCTTATACCACATACATATTAGGCCTATATCAGTTTTCCTGTCATCTGTCATTCACATTTCCTTGTAAAATATTGTAATTAAGAGAATTTCTGTTTTGTACTTTTGTTTGTCTGATCAAATAATGTGCTTTAAAAAATTACTATTAAAGTTTTGCAGTAATTACAAAGTTGTCAAGTTACTAAATATGTTTATTAGCTGTTTTATCGCTATTGTTTTTGTGATTAGTTATTGAACAACAGCACGAGGTTTGCTAATCCTCTTCATAAAAAATGACATTTAACACATAGTAGCTGTTAATGTTTTAACTGGAGAAAATACTCAGGAAAGCGTGTCAATTTTAAATCTTATATTAGCTACATTGTGAGTTAATTAAATATGCATTACAAATAAATAGTATCAATGCTTACAAACAGCCTAACAGATATGGGTGACCACATCTCCCACTTTATGTGGGACTAGACTGGATGTTTATCTCTCATCTCATTATCCCACTTCTCATGGCAGTGCGTTGTGATCTGGTCAGCCTGGTCTGGTCTGTTTATTCATTAATCAGCAACAACCATCGAGATAGAAACCAAGAAATGTGTGCTGTCCTCAGGTCTAAGGAGCTAAAAAAAAATCAACAAGAAAAAAAATCAATAATAAGAAAGAGTACGCTGATTGTTGGCATGGTTGAAATGACTCCACTTTTTACCCTCAATGCAAACATGTTTGTTGAGGTTTAGCCAGAAGCCAATTGTTTTAAAAGTCTGTGTCACTCCTTTCAAGATATGTATATAAAGTAGATGTTAAATTAAAAATCTTCATTTTAATTATAAGGCATATAAATCAGACTAACTTATTTTTTCTTCCACAATCCTAACCACCTGCTCAGGATGTTCAATTCGAGGGTCTGTATATGTACAGACGATATTTTTATTTATCACAGTTGATTGGAACCAATTGGTTGTGACAAAGAAAGCTTATTTTAAACATAAGTTACCACAGACAGTAAGAACAAAGATTCTTAAATAAACTGGCCTCCTTCAGTACTCACTGAAACATTAGTACGGGCCAGAAAATGACAGTGCAATACAAAAGTATCACTCGCTGCTGGTGTGTGTTGTGTGTGTGTGTGTGTGTGTGTGTGTGTGTGTGTGTGTGTGTGTGTGTGTGTGTGTCATCCTGGAGATGTTGAACTATGCAACCTCTGTAGGGTGGGTCCAGGTTGTCACCTCATGCTCAGTGACACTGACCCTATTCAAACTTAAAACTAGTCCTTGTCGCCCCTCCCATCCTCCTGTGTTTGCCCATAAGAAATCATAAAAGAAACTTGTGGAAGGATCCCACAGTTAAGTCCACCACGGTTCAGTTGCTAGGTGAAAATTATATCTTCAGACAGGTATTGGACTAAAACATGTTAACTTCTATTCTTACTTTGTCATTTTTTATAATAAAACTCATTAAAAAATAATCTAATTTTAATTTGATTTAATCAAGAACAAGTGGTGTTTAAATAATTAATCAAAGGAAAAGGGTCAATGCAGTGATTCATTCATATGTCACTTAAAATGAAGTACATATTGGCCCATAGTGTAATAAATGTTTTCTTTTTTGCAGAGTTCAATGTCAGGTGATAAATGTGCCTATTTTATTGAACTTTATGACATATGACAACATCAAAATGAAATAAACTTTCTGGAGAATACATAAACTTAAACCTCACAACTAAAAACTGTTTGTTTTGGTTATTTTCATCAAGATTTCAAAAACCTTTAAAATGGTGATTGCATTTTCCAGTAATTGATTGATTGATTGGTTTATGTTAATTACTATGAGATAAACTTCAATTGTTACTGTTTGATGACTCTTAAATGTTCCATCAATAACAGACACGGTCAGACCTTTTAAAATAGACCAGATCAGCCATCATTCAGCATTCATTGCTTCAGTAGAAAGATCCAGCAGCTGTTTTAGTGACCAGGTAAAACAAAAACAAAACTCTGTTTTACAAATTCTTCACTCATACATTCATACATTATTTATTTACTAGTAGGCTTGTTGTTGTTTTTTTATCTTTTTTACAGATTTTCTCCTTGGTATCATGGGTAATTCAGCAACCACTGGCTTCAGCATTCCCAAGAAACTGTCCTGGGGAAGCCAGAAAGGGGACACAGTCAGGATGCAGGACTTATTGGTAAATCGTGACGATGTTCTCTGGAGTGTTACAGGAACACACAGCTTAAGTATGGAGGAGATTGATCTCGCTCACAACTACCCTTATGCTGAATTACCTGTTCAGGAGAGCAACAAAGTTTATTCATACACATGTGAAATACTCAACCCTGCTTTTGTTGGAATGGAGGATCCAGAAATATGTGGTTTTACAGTGAACAATTCAAGCAACACAACAGAACAACAAGAAGATACTCAGTTCTGATTAATAAGGTGGTAACACACAGCCCCTGAAGTGCGAGTGCAAATATGCTTCTTGGTAGCAGTCTCTACTAAAGAGTGCCTTTCTCTCTCAACTTGTGAGAAGAAGTAACAACAAGATGCCTGCATATGATGACATACAGGCATTGATTATGTAAAGGAAGTCCTTTGCTCTGCAGAAACAACAAGTTTCAGCCATTCTCTTTACAGATTAAAAGCTGTATTTAAAATGTGTTTTCCTTTTTAAACAAATGTAATTCATGTCTTCTTTTGTGAAAACCGTGCATATAAACAACTTTGCACTTTGTTGTTGCTTACAGTTCCATCCTTGTGTGACAGTTAAACACATGGTACTGGAGGTATTATGTAACAGAGGTATTATATTAACAGTTTGTAACTAAAATGTAAGCCTCCTTGCAGAAGTGAAAGGACATGCATTCTGACTTCCATGTACTTCTGGTTTGGCCTCTTGGTTTATGGTCTAATGGTGAGTCTATTTTGAGATTTCTCTGCTCAGCTGATAAAACAAATGAATATTTGTTATGCATCTAAGAATCCATCACCAAAACTAGTATTGACAAAATATACTTTTATAAGATATTTTGTCTTTGATTATCTTTTTATAATAAACTTAAATGTAAATAGGTCTGATATGGAGCAAGAGGCAGGGTACACTCCGAGCAGTAGCTCAGTTGGTCAAAGGGACAGATTGACAGCAAACCATTAATACTCACATTCACACCTACGGTCAAGTTTAGAACCATCAGTTAATCTAACATGATACTTGGATTTGAACTGTGGAAGGAAGTACCCTGACATAACTCATGAAAACACAGGGAGAACATACAAGAAAAGGCCAGACTGGATTCAAACCCACGACCTTCTTGCAGTGAGGCAACAATGCTAGCCACTGTACCATGCAGCATTTTGAATTATTCATAATTCACTGTCAGAGTCAGTGTCCAGTATCTACTTTTGTCCGTGCAGTGAATTCTTCTGTCTGTTTAATTTTTTAGGGTTTTTTTTACTGTCTTAGTTTTTCATGCTTCCCTCCATCTCTGGAGTCTTTGTGTGCTTTATGTTTTGATGTTGTTTGCATGTTTCCCAGCTGTCTTTCTGGGGCTCATTTTGATCTATTTTCACAGTAGTTCTGTGTGTATGTGTATTCCAGTCCATATTGTCTGTTGTCTGTGTGACTGTTTTTACATCATTTGCACAAAACCTGCATTCTTTGATTTTATTTATACTTTGTGTTTTTATACTTGAATGGATGTGCAGTCTTGTGTCAAAGTGTAATTTATGCCAGATATCTTTATAGACCAGATTCATAACTTCCTGTTTTTAGTGCCTATTTTTGAGCATTAAACATTTATTTGCACACAGGCTTCAGCTGCTGCTTCATTGTTTATCAAAAATTTTCTTTGTCAGTAAATATGTGAAAAAATAGCACCACTGCACCAAAGAAGTATTACTTTGAACAGGACTTACTGGTGACTACAGCCAGGAATATTTGAACAAACTCACCAGAAGATGGTGCTGAAAGACTATAATGAAAGAAAAGCCTCCCAACTACAAGGCGTTAGGTCATACTTGGAACAACTCAGTGATTAACTCATGATCAATGGTGATCAGTCGTTATATTTAAGGTCATAAAGACCTTTTCTCCTCACATATGCTTATGTGTAATTTGAGTGTTTTGCTTTTATGTACGCTTTATGCTTTAAGAAAAAGAGGGAAAACAGCAGAACCACTGTTTTCTATTATAAAAATTAAAAAACTATAGCATTACAGATTCCTTCTAAGAAGAAAAAGAAATTCTGCAAATACACTTCATTTTGTTTTCTCTCATTTTGTGTTGTTCAGGATGTTCAGGTTGACAATGTATGTCAACATTAAAACTTAAGCAAAAAAAGACAGTGGCAAGAAAACAATCACAAAGCATTTTCTGGATTTCTTTTTTGAATAAATCAGTAAACAAAATCATTAACACATAAATGCACAAACTGACATCTGAAGCACAACTGGTCTAAAAGAAAATTTTTTTTGCAAACATCAGGAAGTGTGAGCCATAGAGAGAGGAGACCTCCGAGCAGGTAGAAGCCACTGTGAAGACAATGGCTTTTTATTTTATTTAGTCATTTTTTACGAGATTTCTTGATTTAACAGATCTGGCAGTATTTAGGACTGGGTGTGGCTTATGAAATTTAGTCAACTTCACAAAAGAAATGTAGTTAATTGCAATAATTCATGATTTAAACAGATGGCAACAGCCTTTTCACTCTGGACCAAGTAGGCTTGGATAACATTTTTTCCACTTAATCAATGAAATCATAATTTAAAAACTAAGTTTGGTATTTTCCAGGGTTTCAAATTTTGTTTGATTATCTTAAAACTGTGTGAAAAAGAAAAACGAGGAGAAAAATATTTTATCACTTAACAGCAGTGATGTTTCAAGATGCTACACTTTCTAAAAGTGACTTTTGGTTTATTCTTTTCCTAAGGAAAGACATTCAGCCTGGTTATTCCTCTTTTTTAAGGCCTGAGTTGTCGAAGAAGACTTGATAAACTCTGGTTTGGTCAAAGTTTTAAGATTAGCAGATTTGTATTTAGAAAGGTGTTCTTGTAGAAGCAAAATCGGAGTGGACCATCACCTCACTACCTGGATTTTGGACTACCTCACCGACCGACCACAGTATGTGAGGACTCAGGGCTGTGTGTCGGACAGGGTCGTCTGCAGTACGGGGGCCCCACAGGGAACGGTTCTGGCTCCGTTCCTCTTCACCATCTACACTGCAGACTTCTCCCACAATTCCACCCAGTGCTTCCTGCAGAAGTTCTCTGATGACTCTGCAATAGTCGGCCTCATCACTGATGGGGACGACAAGGAGTACAGAGGTCTGACCCAAGACTTTGTGGACTGGTGCCAGCTGAACTACCTCCAGATCAACGCCAGTAAAACCAAGGAGCTGGTGGTAGACTTCCGCAGGCACAAGCATTCTCCACTGCAACCACTGAACATCCAAGGTATGGACATTGAGGCTGTGGACAGCTACAGGTACCTTGGTGTTCATCTGAACAACAGACTGGACTGGACTCATAACTCAGACGCCCTCTACAGGAAAGGGCAGAGCAGGCTGTACCTGCTGCGGAGACTCAGGTCGTTTGGAGTGGAGGGCCCACTCCTGAAGACCTTCTATGACTCTGTGGTGGCTTCTGCTATCTTTTATGGTGTGGTCTGCTGGGGCGGCAGCATCTCTGCTGGGGACAGGAAGAGACTGAACAGGGTGATCCGAAGGGCCAGCTCTGTTCTAGGATGCCCTCTGGACCCAGTGGAGGTGGTGAGTGACAGGAGAATGGCGGCTAAGCTGTCATCCCTGTTGGACAACGTCTCCCACCCCATGCAGCAGACTGTGACAGCACTGAGCAGCTCCTTCAGTGGGAGACTGCGGCACCCACGGTGTGGGACGGAGAGATTTCGCAGGTCTTTCCTCCCCACTGCTGTCAGACTCCATAATAAAGACTTTAACTGATCAAGCACACACATCCATACATATGCAATAACACTAAGTGCAATAATCTTTTCTGGCATCGTTGTATTTTTACTCAGTTGTATATAGCATTCGTATTCTATT